ACCCCAAAGCCCCCCACATCCCATCTATCCACACACCCACAGCCCCCCACAAACCTATACCCACACCCTCACAATATACAAGAGTACGACTTCATTTTAAGCTATTATATGATCACCTCTATATGTTGTAGATGTTCATTTTTAGAGTATAATTTGGTATTTTTCTGGTTCCAAGACGGCAAAACCCCTTGCTTAAAGGAGTACTTCCGGGGGCAAGGGGAGGGACTTCTGGTGGCAAAGGTCAGGGGTTAGAGGGTAGAACTTCTGGTCACAAGATGACGACCAGGGAGGGGCATCTGTCAAGGGGTGGTGCTACCCATGTGGCCCTCAACAGCTTGCCAAAACTCAGTAAGCGGCCTTCTGACCGAAATAATTGCCTATCCCTGTTGTAGCCCATTTCTCACATCTGGATTAGTTCTCTGGAACTAGTCTCAGGCTTGTTAAATGTATTGGAGGGACCACAGCAATCTAAACACTGTCTAGGCACATGGTAAGACATGGTTCCTGCCCTGAAGAGCTTGCAGTCCAAAGATGTCATGCTAGGGAAGAAAGGTTTCACAGTGGCTAGTTCTTATGTGAGAGGGACGAGAAACTCAGAGTGGTCTATGGTATTCTTGGGCACTGATTGATAGATTACAAATTGTGACTAACCTTTCTCTTTCTTTTAAATCTAAAAGATCTATGATATTCAGACTGGCAACAAGCTGTTGACTCTGTTTAACCCAGATCTGGCCAACAACTACAAGAAGAACAGTGCCACCTTTAACCCCACAGATGACCTTGTTCTAAATGATGGTGTTCTTTGGGATGTCCGTTCTGCGCAAGCCATCCATAAATTTGACAAATTCAACATGACCATCAGTGGCGTTTTCCATCCCAATGGGCTGGAGGTCATAGTCAACACAGAGATTGTATCCTACCTCAGTTGAAACTTACTATATAAATACCATGGACTGATAGCCATGTGGTCTGATTGTAGCAACCTGTGTAGTGTCCTGCTGTGTCATGGTAAACATAAATAGATTTTACAAGCTTTTATAATAACAGCAATTTTAATTCATAAGTTAGGAGCAAAGAATTGTCAGAATAGGGAGTCAGTAGGAGCCAGTCCCCTGTCTCTGTTCTGAGATGCTTCAAAGGAGAGGCAAGAAAATGCCTATGGCAGGTTATCAGTTTATAGATTAAATAGGCCTGTTCATAAGTGGAATTTGCTGCATCTCCTTTGTTGACTGACTTCTGCCATAAAGCATGAACTTCTTGAGACCGTAGTCTCAGAGATGGCTTTTGTATCCATCTCCAAACCAGATCTCTATCATTAGGTGGAAGCATCTTTGTGAAATGTATTTCTTTTGTAGTACAAGTTCATAGTAATGAGAAGATTGGGCACTGTTGTACTTAATACAAAGTTTTAGATCTCTTATAAAAATACTACCTAAATCAGCTCTGGATGCTCTCATTACCCATATAGAAGTCTAACCTTTTTGGAATCCTGGTAAGCTCCTGGTTTCAGTTATATGCTTTGGCAAGTGAGTTGTGCATGTTACTTCTTATGTGACATATAATTCTTTCAACACCTTTTAACTTGTTTTCCAATTTAGTTGGATGTCTTGTGTGTAATAGAAAGGTATATGGGAGAGCCTGATCTGTCATTTTGTAACATACACTCATTCTCTCTATCTCTGTCATATCCTCTCATCTTTGAGACAGCGTCACCCTGCACAAGTTATTTCAGGCTTCTAGTGCTTTCATTGCCTGTACCTGATCCTCTGTTCCTGATGTCCCTTTTGAAATATGGTGATCAGTGTTGACACAAGAAAGGGCATAAACCTCTGCTGTGCACTATACTAGGAATTTTTCTTTTCAGCTGCCATAGTGACATGCAGGATTTCTTCTTGAATGGCTATAGTCAATTTGGAACCAAGCAGTGTAGGAGAATAATACAAATGATGCATCCTAATATATTTTATCTTGTATTTATGAACACTGAAATTCATCTGCTTTGTTGCTCCTTATTTATTTAGCTTTGTCAGAACCACCTAATAGTCTTTTGGTCTTCTGTAATTTCTGATGAACCCTAAATAATTTTCTTTCTCCCAAACGTTACCCTCTATTCCCTGCCCCCTTTTTTTACAAGTCTTTAACATATGTATTAGCTACATAACTGTAGTATGGAACCCTGCAAACATTTGGACTTACTGTAAATTGACTGTTTCTGCTTTAATGTCATCTTCACCAGTTCAGATCCATGGTACAATTTTACCTATTACCTCAAAACTAGGTTTTTCCAAAGGCCTTTTTACTAAAATCATACTATATCAACTGCATCTCCTTTGTGTCCTGTTTTCTCAAATTGCTGGTGGGTTAGAGACACCTTCCTTTAAAGAAGGCAGGCTGGTGTTTACTGTCATATCATTCACATAAGTATTCTATATTTAGTTATTGTTCCAAGTAAATTACTTAACTATGGATTTCAGATCTATATCTCCTTGGCCTAGGGATAGATATTACACACAAGCTGGTTTAAGTGATCAGAAACCGGTTTAAACCTGTAACGGAACAGACATTTGGTACATGTAAACCAGTTTGATAATGGCTGAAACTGGTTCGAGATAAACATGGCTGAATGTAGTGTCAGACTTAACTGATTTGGCTCAAACTGGTTTATGCAATGTTTGTCCCAGACCCTTTGCTGGTTTAAGTTTAAATCAGAGTCCCCTAGCATGCTCTCTGGGCTGGGTGGAACTCTCTGCTCCACAGCAGGGCTGGCCCCTGGCTGGAGCTCGGCACAGACTCGCAGGCACAGCAGGGTCTGCTGGCTTCCCCTCTTTCTCCCCGCTGGCTTGCTTACCTGTCAGTTTGCTGTAGACAGTATGATGAAGCGGGGAGAGAGATTGAAAAGCTCCGTATCATCAACAGATGCATGCACTGCACACCCTGGCTTGCCTCATAGTGCTAGCCTGAGGCTGGGGGCTGGTAACACTCCTGCCCCTTGAGCAGCCAGCAGGGAAAAGCCTGTGACTGTGCAGGCAGACCTCCTTAATTAGAGTCCTGCTGGGGCCTGGCCATGCACCCCTCAGCTCAGCTACCTGCAGAAGGGAAGGGAGGGCCGCTCTGGCACATCCTGGCTTCTGGTTTGAGCCACTGCAGGCATGTTTCTGAATTTCTTCAGTCCAGAGAGAATATCTGTCCAATTTCAAAGCAGCTCAGCCTAGCCAGGTTAGACTAACCTACAAAGATTGAATCAATTCAGGGTCAGGCTTTTTGAATGTCTGTCCCTAGCCCTTGAAGTCATACCAGCATCTTCCCCCTTCAATTAATTATATGCTCCATTTGCAGCTTTCCAGTTTTACAAGGCAGTAGATGGTCGGTCGGTCCTCCCTTCCCTTCTGCAGATGGACAGAGTGGTCCTCCATTGATGATACATAACTTTTCAATCCTCCTCCCTGCTTCCCTCATACTTACTTAAAGTGCATGTAACAGAAATAAACTATTGTCAGAGACTAACTTGTGAAAGTACTGAAAAACCAATATATCTGAAAAAAGAAACAAATTACAAGTGCTGGAGAGCATACACTTAAGAGTTCTGCAGAAGCATAAGGATGAAATGACAGAACAGCAAACGTGTGTGTGTGTGTGTATACACCTCCCTGTGTGTGTCTCAGTGTGTGTATACACACATTGCTGATTCTGTTAATATTGCAGGGGAGGGTGAGGGAGTTAAGACTAGGAAGCTGTGGCAGGGGACCAGAGGGGAAAAAGCAAGGGGTGGAGGTTGAGGTGTGAAGTTGATACACATTGTACTCTGTCCTTTCAATTGAGAGTTAGATGTTTGTACTTTCACTTCTGTCATCTCAGTTGTGGTATCACCTCTCTTCCTCCCTTCATCTACTAAGATCTGCATCATAACTACCATGTTGACAGCTGAGGACTTGGTGCAGCTTTTCTAATGAGAAACTTCTGATGGGCTTGCAGGGCTAGGAGAAGGGCCCTGGAACTGCTGTATCTGGAGGACAGCAGTTAAGTTTCATTAGTTTGGTGCTGTTTGCTGCTCACCAGCGAGTTGAAATGAAAGTGGGAATTTGTAGTTCTGTATTGTTCCTTAATCTCTTTTTCTCCAGTGGGACCTTCGAACTTTCCATTTGCTACATACGGTACCAGCACTAGATCAGTGTCGTGTGGTTTTCAACTACACTGGCACAGTTATGTATGGAGGTAAGATTTCCCTATTTGCATTGTGTTGTCTTTGGTTTTTCTTGACATCTTTGGATCTGGCAGTGGAAGCTGACTATAGGGCTTCTCTTTCCTGTGTGGTGTTGGTGAAGTAGACCAATCCAAATATTTCCCAACCCAAGGAACCTCTAGATGCCTGACAGCCCACATCTAACTTGCATATAGGAAGTCTGTTGCGTTTTGCTCTGGTCATTTCTAAGGGAGGTGTACAGACTCTAAAGCCTGCATTTTAACAGCTGCTGAAGGATTTGGAGTTGAGAAAATCTTATACCAACTCACCATGCCTATGGTTTAGAGCTTTGCATGCTTATATTATGGTGTACCAAATTAAAGCCCTGTGGAAAGCTGAGACTTGTATAATGAGCAGGCTGTCTTGTGGCATATTTTTGTAAATCTGTGTTTAAAGAATATTAAAATTACATAGTCAAACACCCCAAAAGTTAGAAAATACTGGGATTAAGATTGTGAGTGAGTAGGATATGGGCTTTGATTTCATCATCATGTGTTTCCCCCAACCAGCTCCCTGCCTTGGTCAGTAAACAGGCTGGACAAAGTTCAGTTAATGAGAATCTACTTATTCATTGCTTTGTTTTTTCTTGTTCGTTGTGTAGCTTTAGGCCTCACTTACTGCACAGTTTTAAAATCTTTGAAGACTAGATTCTTTTCCTCATGGGCTTCCATTGTGGCATTTAGCTGTATTTGGTGCTTCACAAATAGATTAATTTTCTCAAAATCTTGTGTATTTAGATGTAGTAGTATAACCATTTTGCAGATGGGAGGGATTAAAGGAAAAAATATCCACTAACCTTGGGTACAGAAATTGAGATGTCTAGGATCTGATTTCCATTTCTCCTCCCCCAATCTTAATGTTACATAGTAGGGCTGTGCGAGGCTTTGGACCCTGCTTCAGATCCGGAGGTGTCCAGATCAAAGTGCTGGCTTCTTTAGGCTTTCCAAAGCGGTTTGGAGCTTCTCCGAAGCTTTCCTGAAGTGCTTCAGCTGCTTTGGAGAATTGGCCATAGGGTATAATGGGGAATCAATGAAATATCTATAACTTTGTTGTTTTTTGTCTGATTTGGATGAAATTTTCAAGGGTGGCAGCCTCTGCTGAGAGCATGAAGCCTGCCAAGATTCAAGATCAGTGCAGGAGTCCAGGGGGGAACTGCACTCCAAATTCTTGAAAGCAAAACTCCTGTCGCGTCTATGTGTTACAACACGGGGGGGTGAAAACTGCAGGGGTGGTGGCCCCTGGTGAGACGACAAAGCCTGCCAAGTTTCAAGAAGATCAGTGTAGGGGTTTGGGGGAAACTGCACCTCAAGCTGTGGACAAACAAAACTTGTGACGTGTGACAGTGTGCATGTGTTAAGGTGCAGCAGGGTGAAAGCTGCAAGGATGGTGGCCCCTGCTGCGGCCACAAAGCCTACCAGCTGTCAAGGAGATAGGTGTAGGGCTTCTGGGTCTGGAGCCCTGCACCTCTAGCTGCTGACAGGCGAAACTTATGACATGGGTAGGTCTGTCTTGGGGAGAACTACTGCAGGCCTGACTGCTAAGCTACTCTGTTACCAGTTACCAAGCAATCATGATTCACTCAGGGACCAGCTCAATGCATAGTTGCCAACTAGTGTAGCCAGTTAACTAGCAACAATTAACACCTACAAAACCCCACACTAAGGAGAGGAAATAATCAATACAGACAATCAGCTGCCCCAAGACAGACACAGCTGCACAAGCACCCATGTCACAAGTTTGGTCTGTCAGCAGCCAGGGGTGCAGAGCCCCAGAACCCCCCTGCACTGATCTCCTTGACAGCTGGCAGGCTTTGTGGCCGCAGCAGGGGCCATCACACCTGCAGTTTTCAGCCTGTTTTCTGCGCCTTAACATACACAGGCGTTAAGGTTCCCCACGTGTGCACCTCCCCCTCCACCCCTCCTAACTCCCCTACCAATTGTTCCTGATTGGCAGAGAGGCGAAAACTGTGGTTTTAGTATGGCACTGTTTTTGCCTCCTGGGCAGTCAGCAACAAGCAAGAGGGCTATCAGGTCTCCTCAGTCAGTAAGCAACAGGGTGGGTTGGGGGGTTCATGAGGGAATCTGCAAGATTAAAGGAGCTGCCACACAGCCCATTTCCACTGTGAATTCAGTAGGTCCCTACTTGCGTACTAAGTATTTATATTCTTGCAAAATTCAGCTGTAGAACAGTAATATAATGGATAAATGGGTCTTGCTAATCTATTAAAAAAGCAAAGTACAGACAATTATACTGCAATGCTATGCAGGTCCAACAGGATCCTAATGTGAGAAGAAGCAACACCTGTAAATAAGAGGTACCTTGCTGAATAATCTTTCCCTTGGTCAGCTATGTTGCAGGCAGATGATGAAGATGACCTACTGGAGGAGAGGATGAGAAGCCCCTTTGGGTCATCCTTCAGGACATTCAATGCAACTGATTACAAGCCTATAGGTAAGAGTGAAAGTGCCCCAGCAAAGGGCTTGGTTTGTAACCTGGGTGCACTTTTTTGCACTAGATCCTTCTTTCATTAAAAAAATGAGTTAAAACACATTCTACCATTGTTTACCTTAATCCAAGTATGCACGCTGTCCTCAGCTCTGAAGTAGCTTGAGCTAAAATTTCTGCTTCGGTATGTAATTATTTGCGTTTACTTTTGTGGGCTGTAATTGCCACCTCTGGTTTTCTTCTGTTGTTGTCTTTTCTTCTGTTCAACTCGGATCTGAATCTGAGAGCAAGTCTGTAACATAGCCAAAACCTCAGTGGTCCAGTTATGTGAAAGGACCATTTTTTCTGTTTGAACTCCCCTTTCCCATTAGTATTGGTCCCTGTTTATAGCTCAGACTGCTGTCAGTTTGGCCTCTAGCCCACAAAACTCCTGGAGCTAAACTTAGTTATTTAGCAGGAGTGAATAAACATGGCCACTGGCTTCCATTTGCTTAGGGAGAAGGCCTGGTTACACCTTGGTCTTCCTTCAACATCACCTTATGAAAACTGAAAGAGCCACGTGGTCTCTGGTCTGCTCAAAGAAGTCCATAGCCAATGTGCAGAGAGAGATGCACAATGGAATCCAGTGTGAGAATTCAGGCTGCACTTCTTTGAACAGCTCAGCATGAGCGGTTCAGAAATATTCTCCATTACTGGTTGAAATTACAGGCAGTCCTCAGATTTAACACAATTGGTTCCCGAGAACCGTGGCTTAAGTCGAAACTTTGCAACTCAGAACCAATTTTCCCATAGGAAACAAGGTTATAAATGGGGGATTGGTTTCTGAACCAAGACCCAATACCCTATTTTCACCATAAATAGCCCAGAATTTTGTACTCAATCAATTATAGATGAGTAATACAGCTACATTAACATATTTATTTTGTAAATAGCAATCATATTGATTTGGAAGGACTTCTTTGAGGTGACTTGGCTGGACTTTTTGAAGGACTCCTGGTTGGACTTTTTGAAGGGTTCTTGACTGGAGTCTTCTCAGGAGTCTTGCCTGCAGGTTTTTCTGGAGTCTTGTCTGCTTTCTTAAAGAAAGGTGTCCAAGGAAGTTTGGACAGACAGGAGATAGGTGACGCATCAAGCGTTGTGAAGTCGAAAGTCAGAAAGTTGAAACAGGGTGTCAATTTAGAAACGTTGTAACTTAAAATGTTGTAAGTTGAGGACTGCCTGTACCTGTATGTACTAAACTCCAATTTTCTTGATTCTTACCCAGATATGTTCATATCCTTAGAACTGTTTATACAGTAAAGCATTGAAATGCCTGGACTTAACTTTTAAGCTTATTTTATGATTTGTGTTCTAGCCACCATTGATGTGAAACGGAATATCTTTGACTTGTGCACAGACAGCAAGGATTGCTATCTGGCTGTCATAGAGGTAAAGACATTGAGATTGTAGTGGGAACAGTAAATACCTGTCTATGACTGTAGTCCAAGTATAATGCTTCTTGGGGTATTCTTAAGACTTTGGGGTTAGAGATTCCAAAGTGTCTGCTGTTTGTTGTTGATGTCTTACATAGTGGTATTCTTATGTGGATAGGGTAATTGTGACCAGTTGGTTACAATCCATCTTATGATGAGTATATGCCATGTTGCCTCTGTGTCACTAGCTCATTCATATCTTAGAGTCCTTTCAGTGCTATCCCTCAAACACTGTCTTGCTTTAAAATAAATATATTACAGAGGGAAGCATCCTCTTAAAAGCCAGATTGGGATGCATTTTTTTTCATGTTTCTTGGTCTCATGTGTTGAAACTTGCCCCAAAATACAGAGTCTGGCAGGTGTACTCATGGTGCTCTCTGAGCTTTTACTTGGCCTCCCCCTTACCTTCCCTGTTCTACATATTTTCTTTCTGATTAACCATCCTCCAAAAGTTGAGGTTTGCGGGAAGTACAAAGTTAAGTTTTTTGGCCTGTGTTATGCAAGAAGCCCTAGAAAAGCAACAAGCTTGTACTGGTTGGATATATTTCTTTACTTAGGGACCATTAAAACAATCCTTCCTTTCTCAGCAACCAATGCTTGGAATAGTTTTCAATATTGATAAGGCTCTCACATCTTGCTTTATGTAGAGCAACACCATGCTTTTAGCTTGTGAATTATTGTTTTATTCTTGCCTTTCAGCAAAGCTAGCTGACAGGGCACAATAACACCGTTGCCCCAATGTAGAGTACTAATGCATCAGTCCTTGGATTGTAAAATCAGTGAGTTTAAAACCCACTTGGGACTGACTGCTTTGTTTTTAAAGTAATATTAGTTGGCAGATTTCAGGCCTTTGCATCTTTCTGAAATTGCTGCTACCTTGCAGCCTTTTTTTCCCTTTAGGAAAACAGCCTTACACTAGAGAGAGAAATTTTGGGGAGAGTTGGCATGCAGTTTGGGAAAGGGGAGTCAAAGCTGGGCAAGGGCCCAAATGGTCCAAAATAGAGGTTTTATAAGGTGTGTGCTCCTGTGGTAGGAATGCTGCTTTGCAAGTGACATAACACCTAGAACCTCAAAGCAAATCCTTTCTGCTGCTTCTGTGGCTATTCTTGTAAAATAGAAGAACCTTATTCCTGGTTATATTATGTGCACTAATAGAAAATAAAAGATGGGGACAACACCTTACTGTTTTTGGCATAACTTATACTAGTTGCTAAATGCTATGTTGTTGGGGATGGGGGTTTCTTTTCAGAACCAAGGCAGCATGGATGCCATGAACATGGATACAGTTTGCAGGCTGTATGAGGTGGGCAGACAGCGTCTGGCAGAAGATGAAGAGGATGAGGAAGAAGACCAGGTGAGAACTATAAAGACATCTTGGTTTTGGCAGTACAGTTGTAATCAAAGAACTTGTCTACACAGAAAAATGTGTGTGGAGAAAGCAAGTATGTAAATTTACTCTACATTTACCTTCCCTTGTGGACAATCTTAATATGCAGTAAATGTCAGGTAGCTCACTCTTTGAAGGTGTACACAAGACTGTCCACGGAAGGAGTTTTTGAGAATTAGCTAGGACACTATGAACTCATACTTTAGGAGTAGATATGTCTACTAGTTCCTTGTAGTTGGTATGCTGGAAAGAGTTGCTGTTGCATGTTAAAAATTTTTCTATAAAATACTTTTTCTGAGCCACAATGAATGGGTTTTGTCTTTACTTTAAATTGTACACACATCTTTGTTAGTCATGATGTTTAGTCTTGCCCTATATTGGATGTGGACCACAATATCATATTGTGAATTACACACTGCTTCTTGCACAGTAGAAAAATTAAAGAAATGTTGTTAATAGGTTTGTATTGATATGTGCTTGGTAGCCAGCTTTTAAACCATGCATTTAAATTGTGGATTCAATATTTTCAACAGCCTTGTAAAGGGGCCAAGGATGATGATTGTTACTCAAGATGAAGTAGGAAGCATGACTGCGCATTCTGAAGTCAGACTTCAGAAGACCGGTATTCCAGCCCATGGTGCCAGGCATCATAGAATACCAAGTTCCTTATGCTTTGGGCAGGGGGGATCCCCCTCAAATGTGGAATGGATTATTTTCAGCTCTGTGATGATAAAGTATGTATTAGTGTTTCTGCTGGAAACAGCTGGCTTTCTCTCTCTCTCTCTCTTTTTGTGAAGGAAAGGAATGAGGAGTTTCATTTCTTCAGACTATATGGAAAGCTTAAGCTTTGGTTATTTTTTCCAGCTCTTTAATATCATGTTGCTATAATAAAGCTGTCTGACGGCTCTTCAGGGGAACATTTAACAGTACTGTGGAAGTGACTGGTTCATTGTAATCAACAATATTTCAATATTGCCCAAACAAATTGGGTTGTAAAGTGTTTTTTTCTTTCCCGTCTCTGAAAATGCATCATCTTAGTCTGTTAGAATTGTGGTCGGCCTTTTGTCTTTACTGGACAAAAATACTTTTGCTACAGTTAGAGCTACAGCACTAGACTGAATAGATCTGGTGGGCATCTTACTGCCAGACAATAGCAGAGCTGCATGCTAGTAGAGGAAATGCCAATTAATGTCCTTTCCAAACCATTACTTCCTCATAGCCTGCCAACCTCTGATCTCAAATATTTGTGTATTTTTAAAGAAAATCTTTTTTGTGTCCACTATGCCTCTCTGAGTTTGTCTGTAGTCTCCCAATTTTTTAAATGTGTTCATCTTTACTGTGAACTTTCAACAGTAGGCTTTACAAATCCACAAAATAATCATGTAGAAAAAACTGAACTTCCCACATGAAGTTATTTCCATCTTAAAAGTCAGCAATTAGTAGGCAGTTTCAGATTTCTTATGGATATCTCAGATACTATACTATTTTCCTGCATTATCATGGGGTAATTGTTGGTAAATATTGAATTTTTAGTAGTGACCAGTGTGTGTGATGCCCTTTAAATGTACTTCCCTTTGTATAATAGGTCTCTTGTTTTAACGGTTCAGGTTCCAGGCTATAAGATTAGCTACAAAGCAAAGATGAAAGCTTCTATTCTCGATTAGCTCTGGTTGTTGAGACTTCCTGTAATACAAGTGGAGGTGGCCTTAGGCACAGTTTAAGTTATTGAAGAGCTTTCACAAAAGCTTTAGTAGCAGTAAAATAAAGCTACTTTTTTGTTTGCCATTGATTACCAGATTTAAGAGCATTTGCTTGGCATGCACATCTACTGCTGTTGACTGTCTTCATTCCTTGTGTTTATAAAAGTATCCTATTCAGTGGCTTCTAGGGTGGCTGACATCAAACTTTGGGCAGTAGGGAAGGTTAGTTTTAATGCAAACTGCTTAAAATGAGCCCACATTCCAGTTACTGGATGCTTAGCAGTGTTGGAAACAGAAATGTCTGACCTCTTTAACCTGCATGTCCTCGTCTCATCTGCTTCCCTATTTTGGTCTAGTATGTAGCTTGATCTTTTACAGACCCACAAATATTTCTTGCATAGAAACATTTTGGGTTAAGCTATAAACAGCACAGAGCGGTTCAGCCCTTACTTCCCAAAGCAACCCAACAACTTCCCTCTTTTTGGCTTTGGATCAATATGAAACAGGTACCTAAGTATTTGTATTGCTATACGTCTTGAATTTCTTTTTTCAGGTTTAGACCTCTGGCCCAGTTTGATTGCACTGACAGTCAAACTGCTTAAGTGCTGACAAATCAGAAAAGTACTTCCAGATTTCTCCTTGTATAGTGGTCTCACTGATATTCAGAGGGGATAGATTACTTTCCAGTTTTTACCTTGAATATTGAAAGAAAAAAGTCTTGGAGCATATTTATCTGGAATGACCAGGATTTATTGGACAAATGTTCTAAACTCTTTCATGTGGTATTCTAAATGATGTTCTGATACTAGGTCATTCTGCGGTTTGGATGTTTCACGGTGTTTCTGTTCTCTATTCAGCAGCAGGACTAGGCGTTTTCAGGGCTTTTGTTTGCATCTCCTTTGCTAAATGGTCTGCCAAAAAGATGTCTGTCTTATCAGCAGGAAGATAGTCAATAGAACTTGGATACAGCATAGGGTTAGGTTCTTTATCCCTTTGCAAAGTTGAAAGTTTGCAAACCAGGCAGAGAGATACAGCTGCATGAGACGGCTGTTGTTGGCCAGCTGAATGGAGATGTTGTGCTCTTTGTAATAAAAGCTGCAGCAAACAGCTGTGTGGCTTATTCTTCATTTGGAAACCTGCTGCGAATTAAGTTGGTAATGAACCACCCTGATATAAATAACCCAGGTTTTACTGTACTCGTAATGGAAGCAAGTTTGCTTTGGTCAGTTGTCGCTGTCTTTAATGCAACAGAAGTTGTTGCATGTCCTGCTCATTCTGAAAATTGTGCTTGTGGCGGGCAATCCAGATGAAGTGCTGGAGGAACACGTACCCTTATGCTGCTTTGGTGATGGAGTTTATTGCAGCCCCTGTGTCAATCAATAATGCTTCTGTTCTAGGATTTCCTGAATAGTGTGGATTCTGGGGAATCATTATTATGGAGCTGCCCATGGTAGCATTGCTTAGTTGCAGACTTCTCTCTGATCCTTCCTGTCATTTTGGAAAAAAACAGCTGGACTGCTTTCAAACTCCTGTTAGTCCTTGCGGCCAAGATGGCATAGTTGTCTTGTTCCTAGTGCCACTACTGTAAACCTTTGAGTGCTTTTGTTTATAAAACATTTTGGATTAACATAGCTGTAGCTGATGGATTCTGATCAGCTGTCATGGTACTTTTCATATTTCTTTCTTCATATTCCCTTGGAAAACCTTCTTTTTGTAACTGAGGCTAATACTCCAGTATTATCAAACCAGTTTAAGTAAAACCAAAGCTGAATCTCTTGGCTATTGTAATTGATAAATACTTCCTGGGAGTTACTACAATAAGTAATGAATTGATAGTACTCTACCATGAATACAGGCTTCAATGGAACTAGTTTTAACCAGGCTTCAGCCACTGAGTCTTGCAGTGGGATGGCTTTGACTTAAGGTCTGTGTTTATTGTGCCAGACTGGCCTATGAATGGGCAGCTGCAGAATAGATTAAGAGGATAGTAGGAGCATGCTCATTTTTGTCACATCTTTGCACAACAGAATTTCTTGGTGTATGTAGGCAGTGTCCCACTCTGATCTGTGCTGTAGTTTCAAATGATAGCAGCCCTTTGGTGCCTGTTGCAAATGCAGGCAGGAGATAGCTAGAAAATCTTTGAGATTTCTTAAATGCCCAGGCCTAATATTCTAGAGTAAAACCGTTTCCCCCACTAAAGTGAGTGGGAATTAAAGGACATAGTGACTCCAGTCACAGACTCAAAGACTGATGACTCTGTTTAACCAAAGGATCTTCCTGCAACTGCAAGAGTAATTGTGAAAATTAAAAGCTGCTACAGCTACAGTTAGAAATTTTGTCCAGTACCTTGTGTAGAAATAAGGGACCATGCCTCTGTCCATGGTGGGAAAGTCACTGTATTGCCAAACAGGAAATGTTTTGAGATGCTCTTGTTAACTTTGGGATACAGCTACCAGAGGGATGGAACCACTTGAATGATGTGCAAATGAGAATATAGGGGGAGAGGCATACTTAGTAGATCATGGAAGTACAGTGGCATCTACCACTCAGTCCTTCATTGTGCTTGTGAGCTCTCAACAGTGGCAATCTGTGAATCTAATAGGCATCTGGTAACCAATTTGTTAACAGTATTAAGATTATAAAAGCTGCCAAATCATGATTCAGACACTTGCTCAGTGAGGATAGTGTTTGCAGATTTGGGGAGAGAGGAGATTTACTAGCACAGGAAATGTTAAATTCATCACAAATTGGCTACCAAATGCAAATATTTTAGAATAGTAAGAACATGTGGCAGAAAAACTGGAATGGATAATATGTTTCCATTTTTAATCAAAAGATAAGAATGTTTACAATACAGGAACATAAACGATGCTTCATAAAGTAGTGAATGGCATCAGTAATTGTGTTTTACAAACCTCACACAATCCACTTGCTACCTTTCTGATTGTGGTGTTAGCCCACTGGGAATGTCTTTCAAAGCATGTAGGGTAGGGGAAGGCAGTGGGACATGCCTATCTTTTGAGACCCAATTACAAATGCAACTTATGGAACTGTGGGAAGAGGAAAAGCCTCTTGCTCCCAATCTTCACTCTTTTCAGCACTGAAGCAACTCGAGGTTCTGTTTTAAGAGGTTTCTGCCTTTCCTCATCTTGGCTGCTGCTTTTATCCCAGAGTCCTTTTTCCCTTTTCCTCTCAATGTGTGATGGCAATGACAGGTGCCAGCTATGGGGAGTGTAGGAGAAAAGGCCCAGAGCAAGAGTGCTAGCCAGAGTTAGCCCTTGCAGGATGGGATGGGTTCTCAAGACTCCTACTCTATCCCCTATTCCTGCCTACTATCTTCTGTCCACTACAGCAGCCGCCTAGAAAAAGTCAGTCTTGACAGTAACAAATGTTAATGAATTTCTTATGAATCTTAAGGTTCGGGATGACTAGGACTGGTACCCAGTCTGGCTTTTTCTGTGCTAAGTTTTCCAGTAGTTCAAAATCTTATTGTTTGGGTATGGTACTGTTTTACCTTGCAATAAAGTATAAACAAAGACACAGCAAATGCTTCCCTTTTAATGAAAAACTTTGCTATCTACTGACAGCTAAGCAGAAAGCATTGGTTCCTTAAATTGACTATTCACAAAGTTTTTAGTCTGTTTAGTGTTTAGTCTTAGTATTTAAAAAGACACTGTGCACAACCCTTGACACTTAATCATAACGTGTGACCAAACACAAGTTGCACATAAAATAGGGGGCATGGGTTTTTAGATCCTGAGTTCTAATATAACCTGCCAGTCCTTCAGACTGGACTAATTTTTTCCAGTGTCTCATCCTGCTGACTTCTGAAATAAGTGTCATGGTTACCTTTCTGTTTACTGTAGATGCATGGTTATTGTTAGACTAGCTAAGGTTGCTCATGTAGAATAAGAGAATAACTGTCTTTTATCTCTTCGCTCTGTTTTGGCTTCTGTGATATATTGTATGCTGTGTGCTGTGTTCCCTGTATTACGTCTGTCCTTGTCTTCTTCACCTGCCTAGAAGCCTATGGTAAGAATTCTTACTCATTATATGTACTAATGCACTTTGCCAGAGTTCTGTATCTTCAGCTGAGTGATCTCGTTTTACACACAAAGTGCATAGAACTGGAAGGGAGTTACCTGAGATAATGGGTCCAGTCCTCTGCAGTCACAGACAATCATGGCATAGAAGAAGCATAGGATCTAATATGCATCATGTTTTTTCCTTTTCAACTGTGTGTTGTGGAGGACTCTGATACCTGGCTTGGAAAAGAGAGAAGGTGGGAAGAGTTCAGATTTGTTTGCCAAGAAAACAGGAAAGGACTTATTTTTTATGCAGCTAAAGAATAGGATGATACCCAAAGTGAAATTAGTCCTAGAAAAACTATTGCCAAACATTTGCTGCTGCCCCCCACACGGGGGGGATCAATAGGTTGAATGAAGTAATTGGGTAAAAACTCTTAACATCTGTTTTCAGTTGTTGCCTTTCCTGAGAGATGGTTGCTGAAGGGTTTGGAGATATTTGAGCAGCACAAATCTTCTGGCAATAAAGAGCAATTGTCTGAAGTTAAAGTTCTGCTTCTCTGTGAAGCAGAATAAATCATACTTTATTCGGTGCTTTGAATAAGCATGAAAAATATAATCCTTTGCAGGGATTTGCATCACTGGAAAGATTCACTTTGTCCCAGGTGAGCTTGGTTTTTCTGTTTGGAAGTTTTAGAAAGAGGAAATGGCAAAAGGATGATTGCATACAAAAATGGGTAAATTCACCAAAGTAAGAGTAATAGAAGGGATCTTTGTAAAAAGCGGCCATAATGCCCTCCCACCTAAAATGGACAAAACTCTTTGAAATTGGAGTAGTAAAACAATTTATAGAGATCAGACTAGACTTCCTGCAGTGAAATAGGAAGTCATACATTAGTTAAATATGGAAAAAAAAAAAAAGTTGAGGATGCTGGAAAGGTTCCAGTAACATCATACTTCCTAACCTCATAGGACTTAATTTTTAGGCTAAGGAGGGTACTCATAGTTTGAAGTAAGCAATTTTGGAAAGTAATTTCCAAAATGCGCTTCACTGAAATTTTAGATAGTCTCAGAGCAGAGAAGGGAGAAGTGGACAAAACCTGGGACCAAATAGATGGTACATTATAGTATTGCTGCACTTTCAGAACTAATACACAGGTACGTGAACTATGAACCTCAAAATGAGGTCAGCTGAGAATTGAGAATCTAGCATCGGTATAAGAAAAGACCTGTGTGATCTTGTGGTTTCAGAAACACAATCTAAGTATAAACCTGAGACGTTACATAATTACATGAGGAATCTTCCTTGGGTTCTGGACATCTGACATCTGGACAACCATTATGAAAATGGTTCCAGAACCTAGAAATTAGCATGGGGGAGAGAAATGTGGTTTCTAGTACCAGTAAAACAATCTGATGTACTGCTGATCCTTTAAGTCTTCAGCAGCTCTAGGAGCTGAGAAAAGTCCTTGAGATTTTGATACAAAGGGTATCCAAGAATGTAGACAAGGGGTGGTCAACCCATGGCATGTGTACCACAAGTGGCAATGGCAGCTGCTTTGTATGGCACACAAATCCCAGGCGCTCAGTAAAGGGAGGCACCAAGATGGAGGCGGGGGGCATTGAGCAGAATGGGAGCAGGACACTGCTGCAAGAGGAAGTTTTTAGGTGTTGCTGATAATAGCAAGTTAACTCTTCCCTGGCCCTGCAGCCGTTACTGAATTCAGAGCATTGGATCCTTGCTCACCTATATAAAACTGCTGTGGTTGTGGGGCCAAGGAAGAGTTAACCTGGCTCTTGGCAGTGACTACACCTCTTTGCAGCAATGTCCTGCCACCGCTTTGCTCTTCCTGGCTAGAGGCTTGAGCCCATCTCTCTATATTATGGTGCTTTAGGGTACAAACTCTTATCAGGTACATCTCTGGGGAGGCAGGGATCAGAGCAGCTCTTAGGGTGCTGACAGAAGTGCAGCTGCCTGCTGTAACTGAGAACACTTTGCAGGAAGCTTTCTGAGTTACAGTGATCCTATGGAAAAAACAGAAGTTCACTGTTGGCTCCAGGAGGGAGGGGAGCCTAGCTGTTGGCTTCAGCTGGTTTCCCCTAGCAATGTCTCCTCCTCTCTCCCAGCCTGTCCCTATTTCAGAATGAGAACAGGGGAAAGGAGCAGAAGGAGCTTGTTCTAGGGATTCCTTAGCCAGCGCTGGATGGTGGGATGTGTGAATTGGATCCCTTGCACCTTAGGGGAGGAGGAGAAACGGAGGATTCCAAAACAGCTGCCCCACCTTCCAGCAGGGGCTGAGCCCCCCAGTCCAAACTCTCTCTACTCCCTTCCCCCCTCCCCATTCTGGAAACAGCTGGAGACTGGAAGACATCACAGAGAGAAATTACAAAAGACCCTGTGTTTTTAAACTACTTCATCTCACCCTTCATGCGGTGAGGGTTCAGATTTTCACCAGATTGCCCATTTTTGAAACTGTACAGCTGTGCACTTGTTTGGTTATGGCTATAGACCACTTTCTGTGGTCAGATTGTGAGAAAATTGTCACTTCTGTCTGTACCCCTCAGGGAGAGTCTGGGGCTTAATTTGTGGTAGGCTTGCCAGAAAGGTTAGCCACCACTGATGCAAACTATGAGAGTGATGCATTGGTGATGGAAGCCTGACCTACTACTTAGTAAAGTATTCCAATGTGTAAAAGATGGGAATTTTGACTTGTTTTGATGCTGTTTTATATCTGAGGTTCAATTAGAGGGAGATGAGAGATCTGGAAAGGAGGTGATATTCACTTCACAGTCCACCATTTTAGGAGAGAAGTATTATTTATAAGCCACAAAATATTAAATTCTGACATGTGGATTAGAATATGAAGTTTCTCTTATCTCCAGCACCTTTGAGGTAGTAGAGGTTAAGATAAAAAGACATCATGTAAAAATAGGCCATCTGAAAAGAATTTTTTTAGTATAAGTTTCTTTGATCACTCTACATTGGTACCCAATCTTACAGCCAGAAGGTGGAGAAGAGAAGGTGGATTTATGGACACAGTTTTTTCCAGATAGTATAAAACACCTTTTGTTGCTTGTGGTGTTCCACAGAAAGCTTTTTCCAGGACTCCCCTCATGGTATGATATGCTTTGAGTTAATTAATCTCTTTCACAAAGTAGTTACCCTGTGGTCAGGAGAGGTGTGTTTAGTAGTGTCCTCTATCCTTGCCTGGCATATTCAGGAATTCCTAAAGATCTGTTGTGGCCAAGATAAACTGTCGTCCTATATAGCAAGTAGGGCAAAGTATGTCCCATAATTTTCAGATAACACTGGGAGGTTTCATGTATGCTGACTGGCATCTATGAGCAGTTCCTGAGCTTTTAGAGGACACTTCTATGTTGTAACAATGCCTATCACTTGCACTGGAAAACTTTTTGGGTAAGTAAAGGTTATGTATATTGGTTATTAACTGAACTAAAACCCAAATGCTCTATTTACATGGGCTTTAGAGAGATCTCATCTTTATATATGAATGCTATGGTCCTAGAGAATAAATTAGGTCCGATTTATTAAAAACGTTCCGACATGATCAGTCTGTAGTTCTGTTTAAGTAAATGTATCTTTCTTTCCCTTTTGCCATGGTTTTTCACTTTCTTAGACTTCAGGTTTGGTGTTGCTGGTAATTTTATGGCTAGCTAAAATCTGAGTATCTTCTCTGGAGACTATCTAGGAGTGTTGGATAGTACCTGGAAAATTCCTTGAATGAGTTTTTATGCTAAAAGGCTGATCTGCTTAGGAAATTTTACTGATGTAGCAATATAAAGATAACTGTCCTTGTGAACACTTCTTCAAACTTTATACTTCATACCTGTATGTAATGTACGTATATTTTTCAATATCTCCACTTTACTAGCTTGTTGTCTCCCAAAAGCTGATTTTTGAGACATTTTGCCTTGATCCTTCATCATGTCATTCACCCTCTTCAATCCTGCATGTTAAATCTGCAGCTACGTTTAGTTTCTTAGGAAGGAACAAGCTTAAGCCAACGCAAAACTATTTGGTTAAACTGCTGCATATCTCTCTACAGACAGTTATTTAAGTCTGTATAGACTGGGGGCAGGCAATTATTTTGGCTAGAGGGCCACTTACTGGGTTTTGGTGAGCTGTCAAGGGCTACAAGGGTGGCCTCACCCCCTGGTTGCCATTTTGGGGCCAGAAGTCCTGTCCTTAACCTCTGCCTTTTGCCACTGGAAGTCCCTCTCCTCGCCCCTGGAAGTACTCCTTTTGGGAAGCGTTTGCTACCTTGGAACTGGGAAAAAAAATTATATACAGGTTTCCTTCGCTTTAAGCTGTATGTGTGTTCCTGGAAAATGGTGCATGACTCTAATTCTCTTAAAGGGCACCTGCTTTACAATGTAACAAATAGGGTTACGTTCCAAGACCTCAGCTGTACTGACCTCCAGACCCATTTCTGTCACTTTTTTACAAAACAATTTCAGTTCTCGCCAACAGCAGACAGTACACACAAGCACAGGGCACTATTGTAATGGAGATGGCAACTACAGAAACACATGTTGTAGACAACAAGTGAGGAGGACAGATACAGGAGACTATATTTTGGTACGTGTCACTCCCGCAGTGCACCACACAAAGCAGCTGACTGTGGGCTTCCACCACACCAATCCCTGAAGAGTGAATTTACTTGCTTATAATGAATTTTTGTTATAAAATGGGTCATCGCATAAGAGCAAACTCATGCATGCAGAACCCGCATTAAGCAAGGGAAACCTGTACTAAAAATCAGACTTCCATAATACTATATTTTAATTTTATTTAAAAAAAAAATTTTGTCCTGATTTGTGTGTGTTTGTGCTGTGTATATATAGAAGTGATTGCATAATAACTCAAAATGAAGTCTTTCTCTTGTATATTGTGGGGGGTGTGGGGAGCTACGGGTGTGTGGGTATGGGGTTTGTGGGAGGCTGTCTGTGAATATGGGGTGTGGAGGAAAGTGTTGGGGCGTTTGT